AAGTTGTTTTCTTTCTTTTTTTCCTGTTTTTGTCCTATTCATCCGAAACATGTTAACAATTTTTCAGATGCTATTTATTGCCTTTTGCGTGCAGGAATATCACCAAGTCACGCGTATTAATGCAAACCTTTTCCTTTGTGCAGCATTGACATTCCTTCCCACGCATTCAAGGAAGTAAATGAAACCTGTTGGTGGTTTTGGAAAGTCACTCTGTTTTCCCACGTTGCCTGATCCCCACATTTTGTACTCAAATTAACCTGATCTTCAGTATCCCAATACGTTTGTTGAATTCTAGTTTCACTCTCTCACGTTAAAATAAATATATTTATTTATTATCGTAATAAATGGTTTCACTCGTTTTACCTTTCTTCACACGCGATTTTATTCAAATGATAGCTTATATGAAATAATTATTATTCCATTTAATTGACTTAAGATATAACATTCATACATTTATGTGGGCTCTGTGAGAGTATTTGCTATTGACTTCTTGCTTCCTCTTAAGAAACTCGCACATGTAATAATCAGCAGTTAATGATCGCCAAACCTACGAAATGTGACTGGCCGCTGACAATGGGATCAGGTGACTGCTTAAAAGTGGGAATTTTTGTCCAATGGAAAAATGAAACGGTTCCATAAAAATATTTTTAAAGATAACCGATTCGTCAGCTTTCTCTGCATATCTAACGAACATATTTTTTGAATGGGTTCAGATCTAAAAGGAAAATTGAACTTTCATGTTCTTAAAAGTAATGGTTTTGGCGGCAAAATGAACGTGTAATTAGGCTTATGGTTATTACTAATGGTTTCACTTTAAGAACACATATGGCCAAAGTGATACATTTATATCATATTGAGTCTTCTGCGTAATTATCCCAACATCTTTCTCACTAAGAGTCATATTGTAATAATTCTGCGGTACACTACACAAGATCGATTTGGTTTTAGCTTAAGCCGCCCCCTTGCTTGACGCAACCCCCTTGACACTTACGCGAAAATACGCTCCGTATTGCACACACACAGCTACCCTTATAATATGATCACCCGACTTCAATATTAGCTTGAAATGCGATTAGAGAAAAGGGAAGAAATTAGTAAGAGGACGGTCAAGGAGATGGAAACGTACAACGAGAATGAAATGGAGAAAGACGTCCGTTTCTGAACAACACTAGTGCCTAACCCAGGGTTGTGCAAGTGGCGGGCCGCGTGTTACCCACGGTGCCATTTATTGTGGCCCGCGAAAGGTTACTAGAGAAGGAAAAGTTCATTGCATCCGTGTCAGGGGAAACCCTAGCGCACGCGACCTGCTGGGGTCAATACCACCTTAATACAAAAATAGGTTAAATTGACGAGTATATTTAAGGATTTTTCTAGTAAATTCCGAAATTCAAAATCATCCCAATGTGTTTTATGCATAGTAAGACCTCATACACACATGGTTCGATTCCTCCCTTCCCCGTGTCAGAGCAGCCGGATAAAGTGCTGATACAATACGGGGAAGGTGTAGATCGCCCGAGTAATGTGAATATGGCCCGCAATCATATTAAAGATTTTAGTCGGGTCTTGCATTATGGACACCCCTGGCCTAAACCATACATGAGATTTTTCTCAAAATTAATATTACTACATTGATGGGATCCGACTCAAGGCCTAGAGAATTTGAAACGAATTCCCCTTTGTTTTACGTCTTTCATTTTGGGGGAACACTTGATGAAGCCCCGAAGACATTTTCAACGTTTTCTCATAAATTGTCCCCATTGTTTTACGTATTCTACGTACGTTTTACATATTCGTATACGTACGTATATAAATTATAAATAGGAGAAATATACGAAGAATAGAGACTATGATATGTTACGGGAAAACATTTTCACTGGAAATATTGATTTGCAGTCCCCTGATACCGAAAAAGTGTTTCTTTCCAAATGTCTGTTCGTCCGTGTGTCAGAGATGTGTGAACAGCACTAGCACCTAAACTATTAATAGGAATTTTTCAAAAATGAATATTTGTCGATCGATCTGGCCCGAGTCGTCGCACATTACATTGCAAAATAAACATTTAAAAAAATCTTTCGCGGCGTTAATATTTACTTTACATGAATATTTATACATTACTGCATTTGTGAATACAACTTATTCAAATGATATCTTACAAATTGTCTGGAAAATACAAAAGTTTTCTGTAAAAAAGAACACAAAAATGCGCATTTTCAGAAACATTCAAAGGACATTTTCCCAAAAAAAGCTCCAAAAGTTTCATGAAAATTTGCATGTATGGTAAGTTTTTACCCTTCTGTAACATTCTTAAAATCACATTTCAATGCTATTATTAGGGACCAAAGAACGAGAAAATGTGTTTTTTTTGTTGTTTTTTTTATTCTACGCGTTGATACGTAGCAACTGAGAGAAATATGGGAGAAAACCGAGAAAGCTACCCCAGACTAAAGGGATTAGAAAACGTACTAGAAAGTATGTGGTGCATTCTATAGCACTACAGATTCAAATTTAATTGCAACATCTGATATTTTGAAAATCGTAAAAGTTTAAATTTTGACCGCCCCTTTGCAACTACATGATTGATAGTAGACTATTTTATAAACGATATTTGTTCTTCATGATTAGATCTTTAATTACAAGATAATGAAAATAAAAATATTTTGCGCAATTTTAAGTAAAAGATAATATATTTAGAAAAACACGAAATCAAATTTTTATTTAATTTTTTTAATGGAAGCTGCGTAATACTGTCAATTATGATGAGCGCCATTTTTTTTTAAAAAGTCCTTTTATTTTTCAATAATTACGTATCACATACTACGTTGTTTGAAATATCTCTGACGTCGGTAATATTTACAATTCAAGTATATTTTAAAATTTAATGCTTCAAATCATCTGTAATGATTCTCGAAACCTCAAGTTTTAAAACTTGTCGAATGTAAACGATCTCTAAATTGCGCTTTTTCAGAAATATTCAAACGACATTTTCACAAAACGGCCCCAAATGTCCCTCCGAAAATGTCCACTTGAAGAAAGATTTTGCTCTTCTATGATAGCCTGGAAGTCGTATTTCCATCAGAGTATTAGAGGACCAAAAATTGAGAAAATTAGACAAATAAGTTTCTTCGATAAAACACAATTACCTCAAAATACATATTACTGGAATGAAAACTAATAGCAGCAATAAGTGAATAGTATATTCAACATTTTCTGTAAGGGTATTTAAATTTCAGGAAATAGTTTATTCATGAATAAGTGGTTGAACAATTTTAAAGGTGAAACTTTGGTGTCACTGTTGCAGTGGTATCAAATGGCATGGTTTCGAATGGCTTTGGAAGAAATAAATTCAGGGTTTCAAAGAACATTGTTGTCCATGCATACTTCAAAAAGTTCAATGTACGTATACAATGTACTCTTTCAAACAAATTTAATAAAAGAGATATTTTGCACTGGATAGCTGAAGAATTAGAAGTGTTTGGATTCCAATACATATACTAAATTGCATAAGCGATCTAAAACAGACGATTAAGTCAGCGAGTCTGATGTCCAAAAGGGTTTTGAAGAAGAGGTGCAGGGGGTACGCGGGCATCAGGGGTATACATTCAAATCCCGCGTAAGGCATATTGTTTGGGGGAAGTCCCAATCCGCGTATCACATGTATACCCTGTTTCTACTTAAATCGCTTGCATTGCCTGGTAAATGTGAGATCTGTGAGCAATATGTCTGCATGCGTAATTGAACTAACTCAGGGGTGTCCAACTGGCTAGGCCTCAAGGGCCACAACCTAAACTATTAATGAGGTTGCGGGCCATATTTACAGTTTACAAAATAATCTGTGAACATATTTCGAGTAAAACTCATTATATGGTGCAAAATAGAGTCCAATTTAGAACATTAGTTAAGTCGCTACGAATCCATATTAATCGCAAATGGTTTTTGATCCAACACTCCAAAATGCATGTATGTAGCCATTTTAAATACCATTATGATTTTTTATTATACATATTTTCTAAATTTTCTTACATATTTTTGA